GGAGGAGCAGCTTAATAATAAGATCTCCTACCCAGACCATTATGGCATAAGCTCCAATGTAGCCATTGGAACCAGAGGCCACCTCCCGTTGCCCTGTCCACTGTCCCAGGACTGGTAATTTGCACTGCTGGATCCAGGCCTTGTTAGGTGGAGGGGCTGGACTGAGTCTGAAACTCTACAGTTTCTACGAGCAGACATTTCCACTAAGTTCTCTAAGAAGGTTGCTAAATTCTTTACCTTTGCAACTGCCATTAGGAGCAAAGCAGCTTAAATTTGGAATGGCCAGCCACTAAAATGATACTTTTCCAATGTCAGCTATTGCCCTATTATTTCTATCCATCTATTTTGCAATACATACATACATATTCATTCATTCCATATCTTTATCCTATTTGCTCTGTATGCATGTGCTTTTGTTCCTCTTAATTGGATCTCTTGAATATAAATGAACTAACAGGGTTTGTCACCTCTTCCTCTGAAGAGAAGTCAGATGACAGCAGTGACTTGAAACAGAGGTAAGAAAAGCAGGATAGGGATAAGTAGACAGCACTTCAAGTCAGCAGAGGAGAAAGGACATCAGAGCTTAACAAGGATGTTCAATGCATGTTTTCATTTCCTGTACTTTTTGGATGGTTTAGGTATATAATCCTGAATTCAGCTTACAGGTAATCCTTGTTTAGCAACTGCCCGTTTTAGTGACCATTGGCAGTTACAACAATGATAAAAAAGTAAGTTTAGGACCAATCCTCACATTTACCTTCACAGGTCTATAAAGCAAAGGAAAGCTGAAATAAGATTATAAGCATAGTAGCAGTTTCATTTAGTGGTCGCTTTGCTTAACGACCAAGCTGCCGGTCCCAATTTTGGTCACTAAATGAGGACTACCTGCATTAAACTACAAGTTTTGCAGCAGACCATTTTAAAGAGTTATATAAATTTCAGCAAATAGAAAAAAATCTAGTTCTATGTAGATATTCAGACAGCCAGTCATTGCAAGATATGCTTAAGATATTGCCTATTGTGCTTTTAATGTTATTCTCTACTTTAAAACTTGGCAAGGAAAACCTACTTTATTTGACGGATTAAGGGTGCATGTGACCCATAGCCCCAGAATCTGAGCCATCCAATCTGCTGAATCTACCAAAACGCTTTCACTCACAATCAGTCATGGACAGCATGGCAACAAAAAAAGAGGAAAACCTCAACATTACAACAGTCAAATATTATTCCTATGTGAATAGAAAGCCATTTAAAGTTCATATACTCTTGTCTGCTTGTAAGCAGCAACAAATAC